GGAGCAATTTCATGAAATACCATTTTTATGGACTACTTTTCAAAATGACATCAAGTTAAAATTTTAATTAAAAAAATACTACTAATCTACCGTATATAAAAAGTCTGAAAAAAACTTGTCATAGAAAATTAGGGTTTCTTTATTCTCGTAGGGACAAAAAAACCAAATCTTTTACTTAAGAGACAAAAAGCTATGTCTTTTGTTCATGAAATTTAAATCCTGGCCAATATATACCTATTATCCAAATGTAGCAATTACATATAGAAAGTAAAGTCCAAGTCTTAATGAATACATGCACATGTCCTTTTGTGTGTACCATTTCGTGCAGCCTAGATCTCTCGTTCAAGCGCTCTCTTTCTCTTGCAATCTAATGACGTAAAATGGAAAAAAATTCACAATGAGAATCAGAAAATATAGGCTGCACGAAATGATACGCACACAAGGACATATGTTACCTCTGCTTTTAGTTTCCCTATCTCATCTTCATTTAACTTAGCCTGCCAAAATCGTAGAATCCGGAATGAGCAAATACAAAGGCACAAAAAGAAACATTTCATAAAAAAAAAAAAGAAACATTTCAAGATTGGCTGATTCGATAGCTAATCATATAGATCCGAACGTCTCACAAAACATATAAAGTAAGATAAATCCTTGAGAACTAAGTTCTATTTGTTGATTTCTCTATGTAAATTACCTTTCTTGATCTGACTATAGTTAGGCTTTTCTCAATTTGGATAGTTATCTCTTTGAGCTCCTCCATTGAACACGAATCCAAATCTTGCCCCATCAGCTTCCTAAGATGTTATCGCGTTCACGAGTTTATATACAATCAATCATATGTTGCATATCAAAATAGCATATGCAGTACTAGATATGGACATATCATAAACTAACCGGCAACGGGTTTTAAGAAGTTCAATCCTCTTCACCATTACCGCGATTTCGTTCTTGAGATCCTGCACATATTGCTCTTGTTGTGATCTCTCTGCGGCAAAATATTCCCTCCTGTATATCTCACATCGTTCCACCATCTCCTTCATGCTGAATACATTTTCAAGAACCCCTTC